AATGATTTCATGCAACCGTTGTATAGTAATATGATGCAGCAACTTTAAAAAACCATTTTATGGTCATTTGTTTGACCCAAAATTTGAAATATACACTCTTTTCATTCTATTGAATAATCACAAAAAAAGAAAAAATTGAAAACACAACCTAAGAAGTATTTTTTTAGCCCAATAAACATAGGCCGTTCATTTTGTTGAGATGCTTAGATCTAGGCTTTAAAAGGATTTTTTCATTTCCAATTTTTTTGGATGGCTTTATTATCATAAGATGAACAATATTAAAAAAAAAAAAAGATTTTGAGTTTATAAAGGCTAAGATCTTGACATTCAAAAAATGAATGGTCTATATTCGTTCTTGGAGGGGGAATCATTTTGACCATATTTAGGGTTCAAATTGAATTTTTTTTTTGAGGGATTGATTATTGAGATGAAGAGAGTGTGTGTGCAGAATTTGAGCTCCTACAAATGCCACAAACATGGTTTTCTAGAAGTGTCGTCGTATTATACTATGATACAACCGTTGCATTGGGTTATATATATATAGGAAATGTTTTTATAGAGCGGGGCTCGAAACATTCAAATTTGAGCCTAGCTAAAAAATCTCACTAGAGGAGGTTGTTTTGATGACCAAATATCTCATGTTGACCATCTCGACATCAATTTGCATTGACACGAGCAAAATGGATTTCAATTTTTGGAAATAGTGTATTTTGTATTGCATTTTTGGATGGTTAGTTTTCAAGATTTTCAAGTTTTCATAGTTTTGTCGATCTACACTATTTTTTGAAGCTTTAAATTTTTGAAATATAAATGAAAATATATTTTATAGCTATCGCAAACATTTCTAATATTGAATCCACATTTCGCGATGTAATTTAAAGGTAGGCTCTAATTTGATTGCTTAAAGGCTAGGTTCTACACAAACTGCACTTTATATATATATATAGGTGAAATGAGAGCCGTCAAATATTTATCATGCAGTTCAGAATGTATATCACTATATAAATTTTAATATTTTTTTTAGAAATCGTATCATTATGAAATTTTAGATGCATGTATTAAAAAATAGGGCACACAATAAAAAAATAAGTTTCACAATATAAAATGATCGAAATACCCTTGAAAAATGATGGGGGTCATTTGATCATTTTAAATTATTGAAAATAATATTTTTATATTAAAATTTGGTTTGCAATAGTGTAGGTATATACACCCAAAATTTCATGTTATTCAGATTTATAAAAAAAAATTTAAAGTCATATGGTGATATGCATTTTGAACGACATGACGAAGATCTGACGGGTGGAATTGTACCTATATTCTTATTCTTTAGCTATTGTTAGCTTTTTCCATATATATAGTAATGTAGGTATAATATATATATATAAATAAAATAAAGCTAATAATAGCTGACAGCTATAATGAATAGTAATATAGATGAAATCCCAACTGGCAGATCTTAATTATGTGGTTTAGAATGTATATCACCACATGAATTTTAATTCTTTTCTATAAATCTGATTATGATGAAATTTTGGGTATATATATATTGTTGCTTGCACCATATAAAAATATAAATTTTTTTTTTCAATAATTTAAAATGACCAAATTACCCCTATCATTTTCAGGGGTATTTTGTTCATTTTATATTTTGAGATATATATTTTTAATTGTGAGCCCTATTTTTTAGTACACACGTCTAAAATTTTAGTATGATCCGATTTCTAGAGAAAATATTAAAATTTATATAGTGATATACTTTCTGAACCACATGATGAAGATTTAACGGCTGGAATTATATCAATATTACTATTCATTGTAGCTGCCCAGATATGGCAAGGTTTATTCTATATATATATATATATATATATAAAATAAAATTTTTAGAAACATAGGATTTGAGCTGCCATTATAATGCTTTTAAGAAACCCAAAATGGCTTACCCAAGCTTAGGAGGAAACTTAAATGAATGGGGCGATGCGGCTCGGTTTCGAACATGATCTATGTTTTGACGTTGAATCTTTGAATTCGCTTCTCATCGTTCGTATTGTAAAATATTATCTCTAATTTTAAATTAGCTTTTTATACTTCCCGTATTGTATATAAGTTATATATTTCTCTTTTTCTATATTCCCCATCTTATTTGGCCATCTAAGTTAGATGGATGGCTGAGGTTACTTTTATTAAATGTCTCCAAGTGAGGCATTGACCTGATCTTAGATTAGACGCTTCAAATAATTCTTTTGTTAAATTTATTTACAGCTATAGTACTTATTTGCATACGTTCAACCTTTCTTATAATGAGAATGTACATAACTCTATTCCTTTTGATTTTGTATGGCATGGAATGAACATGAAATTTGGTATGTGCCATTATCTCAATGTGGTGCACCTAAAAAAAATATTTTTGAGAAAATAAAATGATCAAAATATTTTTAAAATTTTTAGGAGTACTTTGGTCACTTTATTTTATTGGGAATATTTGTTTTTATATATATTTTGTAGGTATGAGTTTGAAAGAGGATTGGATGTTCAAAATTTGGTGTTAAAATATTTTGTAGATTTTTTTTTTAAATAAGACAAACATTGTGATTGGGTCCATCTCAGTCGTCCATTCAGATTGGATAATGAATCCAAATATGCTAAAAAGAAAGTAAAGAACATGTATTCAAATAACATTGGTTTACAATAGGGGAAATTTTAGAAAATTCTAAAAAAAATAAAAATAAAAATATGACATTTGATAATAAACAATCGCAAATAAAAAAACACATCCAAATTACGTGTTCAACTTTTATTCAAACTTTCTACATTTTTATAAATTTTTATGTATTTTTTATTTTTAATGTACCCAAGTTGTACTTTGGGTACTTGGCTCAGCAAGGGTTGAATCCAGTAACTCAGCCAAGTCCAAGTGGACTTGGCTGAGTGGAAAAACACTGAGCACACCTATTGAAAACCCC